ATAGATAGATAGATAGATAGATAGATAGATAGATAGATAGATAGATAGATAGATAGATAGATAGATAGATAGATAGATAGATAGATAGATAGATCTATTGATGAGTTGGTAGGTAAAAATATTGTTAAAGATCAAATATCTTTAAACATACAGAGTCATTCTTCATTCTTTCCACCAGAGCACGCACTTGGGTTGGTACATTACTAAAAACACAGTAAGAGACAATTCTTTGATGGTTAAAGAGTCATTTTATCGAAGTTGAACCAAAACATCAACAAAACTTTTAAACAGCAAAAACAAAAGCTGTACTCATTCAGTATAGAAAAACATATTCTACAAGCTGATCACTCATGTATCACCTTTAACAAATCTCTTGGCAGGTATTTGTGTTAAGATTTCAAAAAGGACTCACTGGCTTTTTGCTCCTGCCACAGCCTGGTTAAGGAATGCTTGAGGTGTGTCCTGCTGGCCCGTGCCAACAGAGTAGCCCGTCAGGTTTCGGCTGAAATATTTCAAGATGTCTGTAATAACAATAATAACGAACAACAATGAATAGTAATAACAATCAAGGATAAAAAAAAATTCCCACGTAATGTTGAGCAATGTGTTTGGTTATCTAAATGACTCACTGGGCAGAGTGGTGACGCTAGTCAGGTTTTCATCTCCACCAATGCTGGGAAATAAACATGACGTTAAATACATGAATGATGTGACACACTAGCCCAGGAAGTTTAATAGTAGTATTTTGCTGCAACATTATGGGATACCTGAAGAGTCCTGACTCACCTCCAGGATAAACCTCTGTATTGACGCAAGACATCCAGGATATCAGATGGCCTGGATGCAATGCCATTGCCTGCCTGAAAAACAGCAGGTTTTAAAAAGTTTTAGGATCAACTTATTCAATTCTAAATAATGAGAAGCTGATAAGAATGACTCACTGTCAACGAATTGCCAACAGCAGCAACAACTTTCACGTCTCCAGGTCTGAGTTTGTGGACTGCAAAAAACAGAAGAAATGGTCCGAATAATAAATAAAATTAATAAGACAAGTGTAGAATAATATTGTATTTAGAATACACATAAATACAAAAATATATAAGATTAAACTTCCTACAAATATTGTATAATAGTATCAATGTACTGGGAGGTACTATTAGGATGATTTGAAAGGGCAGATTTAAAGAATACTTTACATTTTACAGACTGAGGAAACCAAGACATCTCACAAAAAACAACAAAAACAAAGCTCCATCATAAAGCATCTTAGATTGTGACTTGAGGTTTGTACAGTGTCAGAGGTATTACTTTGTAGTTTTTAGTCCCATGTGCTAAAGTGGGGAATAAATGAATAACCTTCAATATGTTATATAAAAAGCCAGATCTTGGATAAAATCTGTCTTACTTTTTTGCTAATTTAAGGTCACCTAAGTGCTCAAGAAAAGCCTTTAATGTCATCTTACCTGAAGTGGGTGTGGAAGGTGAGGGACTTAAGTCCTCACAGGGCATTTCTGTCCCTGTAAACTGAGCAGTCACACAGAGCACAATCAGAAATAGACAGGAAGCGTGCAAAGCTGGCCCAAAGCTGGTCCGGGTTGGCTGTAGACAATACTCACAGGCTCCATGAGAGGAGAGATATTGCTGTGGTGATATGACGGAGAGTTTCCTTCTGTCCTCAGGTAGGGTCGTTCCTAAGGGAGGGAGACAGATAACTAAGGAGGAGGAATATGCTGCACAGAATGTTCATCTGTAAATACAGTGTGTCTAATGTGATTACCATATATATAAGTGGGTTTTCTGTAAAATTACTCACCTCGCTTGGACATGGCAATGTGAAGATCTTACCGTTGTCCTTTGTTTTATATTGGGCAACTGTGGCCTGCAGCTAAGAGACAAAAGGCTCATTGTTTTCATGTCTGGGATACCGAGTAGAGTAACTGGGTGTGAAAGTGCCAGTGCATTCGACTTTGAGAGTCCCAAGCCTCACCAGGTTTGTCCACATCTGCACCAACAGTTTATCTTTGTGCTGTAATGCTTCAGACTCAGTGAGATGCTTCCCTCTCTGTTAAAAGCAAGAAAGACAGACAATGTACAGTGCATAAAAAATATCTTCAGTTCAGTTCGGGAAGGTAAACACAGACATTTAATATCATCTACTGAGAAGACAAAGTCGTTGTACTCTTTGGGAGTCGATTTTCACAGATGCTGGGATGAGACACAAATCCCTTTGGGACTTAATCAGGAAGTGTATCCTGCATAAAAACGCCTGCTAAACCACTGTGCGAGCTACCTGCTGTGGTGATCCCTTGTGACGTAGGGAGCACCTGAAAGTAGCTTTTATATAATGCATACAAATAGACTACAACACTCGAATTAATATCACCCTGATGGGCCTTCTTGAAGCTCTTTAGTTTTACTACACTAACTGTTTTAGCTCCCTATTACATCCCTTTAACCTTTCTGATTGGCTTCCCATCATAAACAGAAGGTCTAAAGAGAAGGTGGGTGGGGCTTGTATATTCAGAAGCTAATGTTAAAGTGCTCCTCACAGATACACATCCACAAGCAAAAAAAACTGTTAGAAAAGGAAGTTGACTTTATGTTCAATTTGACCAACTGCTGTTGCAACAAAATGGATGAAGAAATGTTAAATAGGTCACTGTTTAATAAATATTTGCTCTCTCAAGGCTTTTAAATAGAAAGGTTGGGTGAATTTCTTCAATCACAATAAAAATGTTCGGGTTTTGTTTTGCCCGGTAAAAATGCGTCAGCATAGGCTCTAGCATTTTTTTTTGATGACAGAAATGATCACAGTAAACTGCAGGTGTGACTAAGGCACTAATAAAGATTTGCAAAATGGTGCAATTGAAAGGAATTATAGGAGAATAAAAGGATGATATGATCTGAATTTAACTCACAGCAGTAAATGATGGGTCTGTGATGAAAGGTATATTCTGAAGGGTAACAGTGAAGTCTTTTCTGTCACCGTACCAGTGTTTCTGTACCAACAGCTCATCCAAAGATTCCTGGAAAAAGGGAGTTTAGGAGCAACATTTATCAGCAAGAGGTTAGCTATACCCTCAAGCAAATCCAAACACTATTTGAACATGAAATAAGGACAAACCTGCAGAGACTGAGTCAGCACGGCTCTCAGGAGCCTGAGCTCCCCTTCACTGTTTGTTTCCAAACACTGGCATGATCTGTCAGTGAAACACATTTACTCATTTAAACTTAATATGGATCCTCCTGTTTAAAGGAAAACAAACTACCCCAACAGTGAATAATTAAAAAATGAAAATAAAACTATTAAAGGAAATAAGTAAACGGGTTAAGAACATAAGATTCTCTAACTTGACAGCAGTGACATTTTGTATTGCCACACTGCCTTATCATCATGTCATCTAATTAATTTATTTTCCTGGGAAAAAAAGATCTTAATTCCTTTTACATCTTCAACACATGCACGCCATCTGTTTTGATGTCATTCTCTAAAGGTCAGGGAAGAAAAAGTGAACTTACTTGCTCTGCATAGTGTCATGCTCTCCATCCCATAATGCAACACTGACAATGGTCCGTTTCAGCTGTAACACAGTGAAGTTAATAAAATTTTGCAAATTTTATGAACACATTGTAGGTAAAATTGCTTCCTGCGTATAATATGAAACATACCCGAGAATGCAGCAACTGCAGAGCCTTATCCACCTCTTTGACCACTGCCTCGATAATTGATGAGACCTGCAGTACAAACACAACAGACTCCATGAACTCTTAGTGACTGTAATGCTCCTTTTTTTCAACAAGAGAGTCACCAGTACAGTCACTTGTTTGTTTGGTTGTCGGCTAATACTTTAATGTGTTATGTGAATCAAATTATAGGAAATGCTAAGTAGCCAAAAAACGCTATAGAAGGCAACCTTTGCAATAGCAACAGTGACAACATATCTACAGAGCAAATTTTATCTGCATATATGAAGGGAAGTTGGGATAGTGCAAGTCTGAAACTGATAAGAATTGATAGCTTGGGCTCTGTAACTACAGTATTAAGGCAACAAAGTCTATAAAACATGAATAACAAGTGATTTGGACTCTGGGCATTGAGCTCTTAAAGATTAAGGAACCTCAGTAAAGTCTTTCACTGTTTACCTGCTGGTCCTCACAGGCACAAAACTGATCCAACTGAACAAAGAGAATCACCAACTTCCAGTCCCGATTCACATTGGGAGCCTGTTGGGGGGAAGTCACTGCTGGTTACTTTTGAACTTTTACTTGAAATAATTTTAATTTGAACCTGTAAGAAACACCATCCACCGGTACATGTTTAGTCAATTGTATGACAAGTATGATCTTTAGATATTTTTCTCAGGGCACAGCAGGTTAAAACAACACCTGTTCAAACATATAGTTCTGCAAAATTTCCAGTTTTTAATAATTAAATCAATAATGAGAGAATATATTTTGTTTTCTGGTGTGTGTTTTTTTTAACAAACACTGAATTATATATATTTTTTCTGAGAAGGTTGGTTAGAATACTTTTATTGTGAATATTTAATATTTCCCTCATTTCCAAATAAGCTATATCTTCTTGATTCACCATGGAAAGCATAAAATTGAATTTTATCCTTAAGGTTGGAAAATGCAAGAATATACCTGACTGTTCTGTAGATAGAGGGACAGTTCCTTTGCCCGATCCACCAGAGTGCTACAAAAATAAAATAACATGAAGGAGTTAAGCCACCATATGCAATCATAGCTTTTCCTCATGAGCCAAAAAGTACACGCTGTACCTGTGTTGTATAGGCTGAGGGGTGTAAAGGTTTGTTTCCTCTGAGAGGTGACTAATCAGTTCAGGATTGAACAGAACCATCAGCTCTGGTTGAGAGAAGGTAACACAAGTTTAACATTAGCACTCATTTTTAACCTATTTTCACTCTTGAACTCATCTAGGGTAGCTTTGCATGATTCGCAGTTCAAAATAAGCTCTAAAAGCAGAATTGTTTCTCCTGTACTGGGCCTTAATGCAGTAGATCACTTTGAAGTGGCTGTGTGTTAGTGCTAGATAAATTCATTTCTATTAAATTGAACTGAACTAGAGCTACAAGAGCTGAAACACTTTTTAAGCTCTTCTGCCTTTAAGCCAACTTCCTTTCTAAATGGCTGCCTCTCACAAACAGAAAGTTTGAACAACATGTGGGCCGAAAAATCTGTGCTCACAGCTAGAACTATGTGCCTTAGATGGGCATATTAGATAATATCTATGTATTAAAATATCATACAGGCCCAAGAGTAGAAAGATTGAAAAAGAGGCCAATATTTAATATCCTAAATCTCTTAAATGCAAGAGTTTACTGCTCACCTTCAATCACAGTACAGTATCTTTGTGTTTTATTCTGTGTGGCTGTTAAAACTAGTTTAGGTTTAAGCTTTCTGACTGCAGATTAATCATAAAAATTAATCTGCCCTGCCAAGTTGACGTAAACATGATAGCAGTGTTTTTGTAACAGTAACTATCACGTTGTGTTCATATCAGTGCTGTATAGATAAAGCACTGTGGTATAACAGGGAAAAATTATTAGCCTCGTGACATGAGTATTTAGTAAAGTGCTGTAATTCTAGTGAGGGTAAAGCTTGGATCAAGCCATTTGGTTACTTTTTTATTATCCCAGAGACACTTGAACACATTGAAGCTCTCACATTATGTCCCACGGGAAGCCCAGAAAAACAACAGCGACTTTATTAGGTAAATATATAATGTCAGAAGCTGTTAAAGATATATACTTACCTCTAAGTCTTGATACAACTGAGGACAGCTCAGTGCTGTAGAAAAGGACCAAAGTGTGAATTTAAAAGTTTGTGTAGGTTTTTACTGCGCTATCACAGCTGAACAGTAAACTGTGCTCACCTGCGCATGTGAAGTCCAATGGCGGAAAGCAGACCCACATCTGAGGGCCTAACAACATTAACTGAAAAAATTGCAAAAAATATAACGATGCAGCTGATTAGCCTAGTTACCAAATGTGGGTAAAGGTACGAATGGTAAATGGCCTGTATTTGTATATAGCACTTTACTAGTCCCTAAGGACCCCAAAGCGCTTTGCACAACCAGTCATCCACCCATTCACACACTGGTGATGGCAAGCTAAATTGTAGCCACAGACAGAGGCGAGGCTGCCGGACACTGGCGCCACCGGGACCTCTGGCCACCACTAGTAGGCAATGGGTGAAGTGTCTTGCCTAGGACACAACGACCGAGACCGTCCAAGCTGGGGCTCGAACCGGCAACCTTCCGATTACAAGGCGAACTCCCAACTCTTGAGCCACGATCGCCCCATGATGGTGTTACATTAGTGTGTGCAGCAGGGAAGTTGTTTTATTTATTTTTATATATAAATTTATTATAACCTACATTTATTTATATCCCAGTAAAAGTTTTAAAAAGTTCACATAAAGCTGCTGGATTCAAAACTGTGATAACAGGAAAGTTTACTAAAACTATCTAGTAATCATGCTAAACGCTCTACTCAGACTTAATCATTACACCTACAAGAGCTGCTCATCGATCTCCCAGTGCAGTTTTTGTGTTGTTGTTGTTAATGCAAGAGGATGTTTAGGACTACAGTAATGAGTCAGCAGAGCTTTATGCACTATGTACCTCAGCACTCACCAACCCTGCTCTGTACCTTTGCATGGTCAGACACTTCATGGCTGAGTTGTAGTTTATCATAAAGATCAGTATTATAGAGTCAGCTGTGGAGCTTTTTTCTCCTGAAGGCTGTTCATAAAACCATATGCTTGTCTAATTTACCAGTTGAAGGAGGCTCCTGCGAAGGGATCATCTGAGAGCACGGCAGTCCGACTGCTAGAAAACATGAAGAGATAACAAATGATAAAAATACTTCAAAGTACAGAAGTTCAAGGCCCTGTGGAGCATTTCTGGCAAAAGTATTACTATTTATTCAATTGCCGACCACTCTAGGTTGGAAAAGAGGAGCACAACAAACACAAACATCTTCTTCCTGTATTGCTATCACTCTTACCAACTGGACAGTCATATACGGAATATTTTAATTTTACTTAAATTATTTTTAATAACTATAATAACTATATAAATAACTATAGCAGCAAATATACATTAAAATCCAATAATTTAAACTAAACCACCAAAATAAGCAAATAAATAGTACAAGTAGTAATGTTAGTATTAACAGACTGAGTTAAAAATAGCTTATTTTAATATATCTCAGTGCACTGTCCCTCCACACCTGACTTCTGCAAAATTTACTTTAGGTAAATCATACATAATTCCTACATTTCATGCAGAACCTTTTCAAAATATATATTTATAATTTGTCAAATTGAAACAAAACAGCATCATAACAAACATGAAACATGAGCATTAGATCGAGCTATAGTAACAGTGGAGACCTGATGTCCACGTGAGACCCAGCAGAGAGATCAGAAGCAGCTGCTGAAGCATCTTATTTTTTGTTTTCATTTATCTTCTGTGTGGCTTTCTTTCCTTCCTGCTCTCTCAGCTTACAGTAAGCCGTCTTTCTGAGTTATTATCAGTTATACTTAGTCAGTTAATTATAGCTGCCATAAATCCTCATGCAGGGAAGGGACTATCCTATTTGTTCAAAGGACACAGCTTGAAGATGATATATGATGATATAATGACACTGATAAGCTCAAAGAAAGTAAGAAAGTAATGGGTTTGAATTTGCTTTTCTGTGTGGAGTATACCTGTGTGGCTTCCAAAGACATGCTTGTTAGGTTAACTAATGAATTTGTTGGCTGTAGGTGTGAGTGTGAATGGTTGCCTATCTCTATGTGTTGCACCTGTGGCAGAGTGGCAGAAAGGAGAGGTCAAAGAATATGTCTGTGAAGGTTCTCAGTCATCCAGGTCATCGTAGTCTGAGGAGCTTGGAAAGAAAAGCGTCTGGACTTCTTTAAGTTTCCTTAAAGATGTTTCCCCTCTCACCCAAAAAGCTTCTTCAGTTCTAAGAGCTATTGGTGGACAGTCCAAGATGAGGCTTAAATACTGGGACTCTCCACCATTTGCTCTTAGAACTGAAGAAGCTTCTTGGATGAGAGGGGAAACATCTTTAAGGAAACTTAAAGAAGTCCAGATGCTTTTCTTTCCAAGCTCCTTAGACCAAGAGGTCAGAGAAGAATGTTCAGACTACTTCAAGCTGATAGAAAAACAACAGCAACTGAAATAACCGCTCGTTACAACCAAGGTATGCAGAAGGGCATCTCTAAATCCACAATGCGTCCAACCTTGAAGCAGGTGAGCTCTAGCAGCAGAAGACCACACTGGATGCAGCTCGTCTTAACTAAGCAGACAGAATTGAGACTATAGTTCACACAGGTTTACCAAAATTGGACAGCAGAAGATTGAAAAAAGCACTGTCTTATCTGATAGTCTGAGTCTCAGTTTCTGCTGTGAAATTCAGATGGTAGGGTCAGAATTTGGTATTAATTAAATGAAAGCATGGATCCACCCTGCTTATATTAACTGTTCTGGTTGCTGTAATGGCGTGGGGGATATTTTCTTGAGACACTTTAGGATCCTTAGGACCAGCTGAACATTGTTTAAATGTTTAAGCCTGCCTGAGTATTGTTAGGGATTGTTGCTGCAGGATAATGCGCCATGTCTTACTTCTCACGTTCAAGTGTATCCATAAATCTGCTCCTTTATATTTGTGTGACCTTCTCCATATCACCACTGTTTCCCGCCCTCTCAGATCATCATCTGCTACTCATCTTACCGTTCCGTCCTCACACCTTATCACTATGGGGAGCAGAGCTTTCAGTCGCTCTGCTCCCCGGCTCTGGAACTCTCTTCCTCCTGCACTAAGAAATATTGACACCCTTTCCGTATTTAAGACACAGCTCAAAACACACCTGTTTAGACTGGCTTATTCGCTTTAATGCTGATTTTTATCTGTTGTCACGCTCTGTTTTGTAATTTTAACTTATTTTATGTATTTTATGACTATTGTTGCTTTTATTAATTGTGTTTTTTTGTAAGGTGACCTTGGGTTTCTGAAAGGCGCCCTCAAATAAAATGTATTATTATTATTATTATGTCACAAATGGGATCCACTGTCACCAGATCTCAAGCCAATAGAGCACCTATTGTTGACTTTTGTCAGAGTACCCATAAAGAAACCAACCAGTGACCTCCTAGCAACCACCAATCAATAGGGAAAAATGTTTATTCCTCAACACCAACCACCACCAAATTAAAAACATGAGTTTATTATTGGCTGTTGGAGAAAAGAAGCAACTTCAAAAGTAATGCACAAAGTTTCGGAGCCTTTGTATCAGGCACTGAAATGAGAAAAGTAAACTGGCAGATTGCACTAAAGTACTAAATCTACTGAAAAACCCATGAATACGGGGAAGTATTGGAATAGTTTTCATAAAAGTCACAATAAAACCCCTCAAATCCCTGATTAGTGGCAAAACAAGAGAGTGGCAAAAATAGATAACAAGGAAAAATGACAATGCATGGAGAAATGACTGCCTTCACATATGACACTAAGTGGAATGATTGACAATATGTCCAATGTTCCTGATTGTTTTTCTGGCTGTTCAGAGCACATTAGTCTAATGTGACAGCAGATGCAACGAGTCCTCTCAGAGGATAAAGAGCTACACGTGTTATTCTGGAAACCTGGCTTGACTCACTATAACATAGGAAATGGGTTTTAGGGGGCTGACGAAAGTCTGACGAAGAGATATAAAGTGCCATGGAAGGAGAATGAGGCTACAGAATGAAAGCTGGTGCAGGTGGTGCAAGTATGCTGTGGTTCTATTTTGAATGGACACATTCCTGGGTAAATCCCATTGGTTAATCTTGGTTGTAAGGTAAACTGACTGTTTACTGCAAGATTAGCACAATGGAAAATTTGAAATTCAGTAACTTTGACTAAAAATAAACCGGTCTGCAGTTTTTGCTCACAAGCACATGATTCAACCTTCGTTGACATATTTACCTTTACTTTAAAATGAAGAAAACATATGAAAAGTAAATCTTACAAAGGATAAATTTACTACAAAGGAAACTTTCTGTACAGTTTAAGGGTAGTTGTACTTCATGTATAAAAAAAAAAAAAGTCAAAGAAGGTAATCTATCTAGCAATGAACTGGTGGATTTATGCTTCAATTGGCAGGAACGAAATATACCACAACATCCAGTCATGTGGGTCTGGTAAAGGGTTTCTATTTTGGTATGACGTGCTGCTCCCTAGTGGTCAAAGGTAGGAGCTGCGTCAAGCTACTAAATAGTATGGAAAACGTTGGAGAGAACGAGACTCCAAAATAAAAGCCTTTATTTTAAGAAGATGCTGAAAAAAAGTAGGTTTATGACTACTGTTCCAATTAAGATATTTTTCAGGGCACTAACATTTATAATTACATATTATTTACACAAATGTTTCCGTATTAAAAAATAAAGTTTTGATTCGGATTTATTTTTAAGCCCCTGAACGGAAGCTGTCATATCATTCTTGGTAGCTTGGGTAAAAAAACAGAAATCGCATCAAACGCTGTCCTCTGTGCTGAGTTTGACGACAATAACAATAGAGGAAACGTGAAAATACTCGAATATAAAGACGACCCGGCGACTAAAAACAAGGGAAACGTCCGTAGTTTTTTTTAGTTTTCTTCAGCTAACGCAGCGAGGTGAGAAATTTGGAGCACACGTAACGGTTTTCTTTGGCCTATTGAGGTTATCCTTATTTAGCTATTGTTTGGGTGACTTTGGCATTACCGTTTCATACAGTTTTCCGAGAAGGTTTTTGGTATACGTCCGCTTCAGCTGAATTATTTGTTTATTATAAAAACTATCCTTTTTGATAATTTACGATGTCGATGTTGAAACGTAGTTTGTATATGTTCCTAACCTTGTTATTGGCGAAGCTCTCGGCCTGATGATGCCTTTAAGGGGTCCCTTTAAAAACAGAAACCCCATGTTTATTTTACAACAAGTACGGTACAAAATCATATTTATTTATTTATTTTAAAAGTAAGTGGTGAATATTTGTTTTTTGATTACTCTGTCTGGATACCCCCCAAAATAAAAACAAGCTGTTTGAGTTCCGTTTTCTATCAATACACAAGCTAACAATCAAAAAGCACCTAAAAGGAGCTAATCAACATATTTTCGAGTCTTTCAGATATTGTGTGGACTATCATAGTAGTGCGATGCGATAAACTTTATGGAAAACCAGTTGTTGTTGTTGTATGAGATATTCATGTTCAAACATGGCCTCAGATTTCATTTGGGGGGAAAAGAAGGATGAAAATAGGTGGGTTGCTCTGTTTTTGTTTTTTTCTATATGACGCGTATATTCCACAGCAATGTCTGTGAAGGTTCTCAGTCATCCAGGTCATCGTAGTCAAAGGAGCTTGCAAAGAAAAGCGTCTGGACTTCTTTAAGTTACTTGAAGACGTT